GCGGCCCGCGGCTGCCCGCAGGGGCGCGGCGGAGCGGGGAAAGGCCGCGGGAGGGTGGCGAGACTCGGTACGGCAGGGCTGCTCGGAGTGGGAAAAGGCGGGGAGGAATCCCGCGAGCGGCGCCGTTTGCTCTGTGGCGGGGTGACCCCTGCAGGTCTCCAGCGGGAAACGCGCCAGCAGTCGGGCAAGCATCGTCGGCGTTCAAGGTCGAAATTTGTCCTTGGGCCGTGAAGTTAGGGAGCTCTAATAGGCGCGTGGAAAGTTGAGTGGGAAACTTAGTGTGGAGGGTTTGTCTCCTGCAGCCCCCAGGTCTCGAATGAAGGGCAGTTCCCTACTCCTTCAACCGGAGGAGCACACGTGTTTCCTCGGCCATGGTGTTTGTCCCTCAGCGCTTGGACTCCCGCTAACTGCAGAAAACCACAGGACTGGAAAATCTGCTACGCCTGAGGGACTTTACCTCTTCTTGTTAAGGCTTTTTTCCTTTCTATGAAGAAATAAAGTGTATGGTCGTGGCTTTTTTTTTTTTTTTTTTACCTAGTTTGCATTTATTCTTGGTAACGTTGAATTCCATCATTTACAAGCTACTAACTCAATTCAGCATGTTTACAATACCAGTGGTCGGTGTGTTGCCAACCATTCAGCTTGTTTCTCATCTTTTTGTGAGTTTCGCTGATTTTCTTCTGGTCAGGCTCCAGACGAATCTCAGTTGATTTCTCTCACAGTTATTTTTAACTTGCAAACAGAACACATAATTTGGTCTCTTGGCTCTTCTTTTTTGAGGGGGGGGACAGTTAGTTAAAAATGCTTTTTTTTTTTTTCCACTTTGTGACTGAGCTCATTTCTGATCTGCCATAGAGGATCTGGGGGTGGGTTTGGGGGGTTTTGGGTGTGGGGTTTTTTTAAATGTGTGTGTCTACTTAGCTTTTAAATGGAGAAGGTTCATATCTCCTCAGACAACACCCAAATTCCTTAGATTAACAATACCAATGCACCTAGATTAATGGAGGTTTCAAGTAAAACCCCATTCTCAGCTTCCTATGAAGCTTCAGGATGGTAGAAGGCCAATATATAATCAAACTACATATTAGTGTTATTATGTAGTTTGAGGACTACATCTCAAACTTAATTTGTAATCTGTACATGTATTAATAAAATCAGATGCTACTTTAAAGCAGTTAAGCTCACTCTACAGCAGGAATTCAGCTGTTTGGCTCCAAGGTTCTTCCAAAGTCTTGGTAAATTTTTTTTTTTTTTTTTTTTTTTTACTCTTCACCTTTCACCAAGCAAGATGCACTGTTCAACTTTCATGCTCAAAACTAATTTTTGATCTGGAAATTCAAGTTCCACTGTTTTTTACCATACCTTGCCATTCAAATATGTAAACATAAAACTGTTTCAGTATTTTAACATGCTGTAAATACCAAACAAGCACAGTAAGGATAATGAACAAATTAGAAGCACAGTGATTTTTAGAAAGGCAATTAGGCTGAAATACGCTGCTCTCACCTCAACTCAGTACTGATAGAGCTGGAATGAAAATGACAGTGGCTGGACTCAGAAGTTACCACAATTTAACAGCTTGGTTGAGGCAGGGTGATGGTAGCCTGCACCCGATGTGTGAAACTATATGCTAAATTTACACTCACTGTCCTTTGCTAATAGCTCAGAGTCAAGGCTTTGTCATGATCAGACCTCGAGTCTAAAGGCCAATTCTGAAGAACAGATACATTTAGTGGATGTTATTTGTCAAGATTATAGTGCATCTCTCATGTCCATGGAAGGGGAGAACTCTTTTGTTTTGATTCAGGCAAACATTTTCCACTTCATATACAATGGGTATTCTGTAAGTAAAATACAAGAATATTTTGAATACTGTTTAATACATGGCAATGGTAGAACAAATTGAATGTTATGCTCAGTAAAGTATATCTAAACATTCATAAAGCTCTCGGGCGCTTTAAGGCTACGGACTCCAGAATGGCTGTGCCTCCTGCCCATCGCATTCAACATCTGTGTCTGCGTGTGCTAGCCATTTCCTTGGCCCTTTGTCTTTCTCTCCGCGATGATACTGCTGCTATGGTGAAAAATAGAGAGAAAGAACAACAGGATATTGTCCAATTCTGGTCTGCGTGCCAACACTGACAAAATGTTGTTTTCTCCTCAGTTTGGGGATTCTTGTTGGCTTTTATTAGCTCTGGGTGAGCCTGAACACATTAAGATGTTTTTAAAATTCTTCCAGTTAGCGTGGAAACCTTGAGTCTGTGGGAGGAAGGTGGTGTCCCATGCCCCAGCACAGACATTCCTGTCCTGGAGGATGATACTCTGACTCACGCAGAGGAAAAGAAGAGTTCTGTTGTAAAACACAACAGGAAGACGTCCAGTGCTGCTGTGTGCCAGGAGGACACCTGCAGAGCTGCCACAGGGGTGGAAGTGAGCCACAGGCTGTATGGATAGTGCTGAGAAAACTGCACGGCTGCACAAAGCTGACGCCAAACTAGGGTGCTGTTTGTGGTTTCCGTTCTGCTTTTCTGACACCTGTAGGTAAGCGCGAAGTGCACAGCAGAATTCTGCAGCCCCTTACAGAGTGAAGGAACCGTCGCAGGGTACGGGATCACAGTGAAGCATTCTTGCTTAGCAATCAGGATTAATTATAACCCGGGAATATGAACTGTAAACGCGCTGCAGTTGCCAAGACAGGAGCTGGCTGTGTGCCAGCGCTTGCATGAGGACATACCATCCCGTCAGGACTCCCTGGGAGCAGCAGGTAACACCCCAGGTACGCGTGGAGCCCCACAGAGGTAGATGGCCAAATGCTGGCGGGTGCGGCAGGAGGAGGGTAGGCGTTCGACCGTTATTTTGGGATGGGAGTGTTTCTCTATCTAATTTGATGCTCATCTCAGTCTGCTTTCAAAATAGGTTATTAGTGTACAGTGACACACTTTACGATTTTTAAGAAAATCTTAGCTTTGATACTGTCTCCTTAACATGAAATAAACCCCCGAATTCTGCAGCTAATGTGAAGTGTAGGCAAAAGCTTCAGCTTCTGCGTGTTCTTATGGTTGCATGGGCCACTGTCCCTTCTTTGCTGCACTCAGACAAGGTATCAGTGGTGATAAAGACCGTTGTGAGAAGATGAAGTGAGGTGAAAAATGGTAATTGAGCCAGATAATGAGTTGTATTAAAACTACCCAGGATAAAATGGAATAATATATGACACATTCTGCAATAAGTATCACATAGGCCACCTAAAGCTAAGAGGCAAATGTAACAAATGCTTTGAAATATAAATGGCAGAAATTTAAAAAATCTGCTTGAAGTGTGAGAAGTGATGAAGTGTAAGAAAACCACAAAGGTGAAAGAAATAGATGTGCTAATTACATAATTGTGGCACTACATAAGAAATGCCTGTGAAGGGGGAATCTTACGTTGTTTGGTTGCGAAGACTTTAGTGGAAGCTTAGAAAGACTGAATTGATGAAGCTGGAAGTTCTGTTAAGCTGTAAGCTTTAAAAAAAAAAACAAACCTTTTTTTATAAATTAACACATTATAATATTGTTTTAATAACCTCATGTATGAAAAAGTTGATATGAAAGGCTACTCTATAGTCCTGGGTTTGATTTAAAGGAAGATATAAAAAAGAAAAAAGGGGGGGGGAGGGGCGGTAACCACTAAAAAGTTGTTTTTTATCATAGCTTCAGGGCACTTAAAGTTAGTGAGTTTCCTGGTTGTGTCTCTAGTTCAAGAGTGCTATGTTAATAGTTTTATACATTCTGGGAAGCTCTAGGCTCTGATGAATGGTTTCTGTTGCTGGTATACAAAGCTTTTTTTCCTCTTCTTTTAAGGGCTTTCTGGAGTTGTAGAATAGTCTTTCCTTTGAGCTTTTCTATGTCTAAGAAGAGTAACTATGTCAGATGTAAGAA